TTTAAAGTGCTTGCCATACATGTATGCAGACTAATGTAAATTACTAAAAATTAATATACATCAGGCACATTACACGGAAATTAATATCGATAAAGTTTAAAGTGCATTTGGGAAGAAATGAAAGCTCGTTTCACTTTACTTTTAATCTTTGTGGCAGTAACGTTTCTTATTAGTTTTATTTATCATCCCGTTAATACATTAAATTGCAATCAATTTGTACATATCATATTACAACAAATAAATAAAAAAAGACGAAAATATTTTAAACATTAGTAAATTCGTTTTATAGAAGTCATCTATGAACTTTTACTCATCATTGCTTTGCCCTGTTGTTTTCACAAGGATGATTATATTTTCGTATTATTTTTAATATAAATCGAATACAAATATACCTTTTTCCCATGCAGGTATTAAGCTTTAGCAATTATCGGGCTACACCATGAATACACCGCAGCCTATAAATAATTCGAAATTTTATTTAGTCCGTGCGAAGATTAAACGAAGTAGTAAACGCTAAAAATTGTATCTTGCAATTAAAATTTAGGTTATTGTGGCATTGCGAAAGTAATTGCATCGAGATAACACGTTCTGGTAGCTTTGAAAATAATGAAGAGAAGTGCTCCTGACCCGAAGCACTTTAGATTATGCATGACATCGGTTACGAGCGCTGCGAGAGGCTAATCGATCCTATGCCGCGGCGAAGCGTGAATTTCCTCGGAACTTTACTTTACGAATCTGTGGCATTTCGATCATTTCGAGTCTTACCGTACTTGGGTTAATGTTATTATGGGGGAGTAAAGTCACCTAGTACTGTTAAATGATTCGCTGCTTTGGCTTGACAGTCGCCTTTAAGCGCGTACCGAATTACTGCGGGAAAGTATTTATTGCGCCTTCTCTAGGACTTTGTCAATTAAGTTTCTCCATTTCTCGTTCCCCTTTCCTCATATTATATCTATATATTTAACGGAGATTCTTATTGTTTTATAGCACGCAATAACAAAGGAGTCACGATTCTAGTCAGACGCTTGTTGTTATAGCTTACGGTAGCCATTTATTCTTCGGCATATTCATTCGTAGATTATGCTTTTTTGTCACAAGAACAATGAATCAATCACGATATTGCAGCAACTACGAATCTTTTTATTTTGTTAATGATGTTTTTTTTTTTTTTTTTTTTTTTTTTTTTCTTTTTTTTTTTTTTTGACCAATACTACCTATCTATGTTTTAATATGTTTATTTTAAAAAGTTCGAGAACATTTCGTTATGAAAATTTCACGCGTTCTCATACGTTATCACGTCGTCTCATTGTCGTTAGCGATTATGAAAAACAATTTACGTTTAAGTACATTGAGTGTAAGTAATTATTTTGATTACCATTCATCCTCCGCTACTCTCTCTCTCTCTCTCTCTCTCTCTCTCTCTCCTCTCCTATGAATAAATTAAAAGTGTACAACGTCTGAAACGTGTATAAATATCAGACCTTCTCGTTCGAGCATATAATGCGTGATAAGAAACTCATTTTTACAACATCTCCAAATTTTTAAGACTAGATCATACAAATTACAGTTATAGTAAATGTAATATTATTTTTGGATTACCAAGTTGCGCTCACGTATATTGAACAACATTATCCTTGTATTAAGTATCGAACAAATGGGGCCGGAAAAAGAATTTGAGCGTTGCCCATGAAATTGAAACATAATGGAGCATGTAGAAAGCAATATTCGCTCGGGGATAGTACCAGTGCACTTGATTCCCCTAAATTAACAAGTGCGTGCGGCAGGCACATGGGAGAAAGCCAGCCTACGTGTTCAATTTGGCAGATAAATGTGCGTTAGCGCGAAATAGCCAAGTCACTTGTCTCGCCGTAGGAGAATACACTTTCGAAAAATATCCTTATCTGGTAAGCATGGAAGGGAAAGTGCAGCAGATGCGCTTCATTGACGTCATTCGTGTATTAACACTCTCGAGGAGAATCCAAGCAGCCAGACACGTGTCGGGTTTGTCCGTGTCGGCGGCGGCGGTGGCAGCGGTGGCAGCGGTGGCAGCGGTGGCAGCGGTGGCAGCGGCGCGTATCGAGCAATCGAGGAATATCGCTTTCACCTCCGTCCGTACCTTCCTCGGACCACTAGCAGCGGGCTTTCACCGATTGCCAAGCGCATTCGAGACCGAATTCCTCGGCGGCAGAAATCATCCCGGGCCGAAAGCCGGGGGAAGCAGTATAATGTAAACCGTTGCGCGAATATACATTTCGGGGGCGTGGGTGCTGACGGATATTTATTCATCGAGTGTCGATGAGAATGCTCTAAAATTCTGGCGAGCTTGATAATTTTAATCGTGACTCGGCGCGCTTTTATTCTTGTGGCGTGGCCGACGATTTGCCAGCTAAGCTGGGCGCTTTGCTTCTCAAAGGCCTGCTCGCATAATATTATTATTCTCCGTCCTTCATTAATGGAGAGAAACGATACCGTTGCACGCTTGTGCCAACTGCGCGCGTTTCACGCGATCGGTCAAGAGGCGAGCTACCGAGATCTTACCCGACCTTACTTACGAGACCTTGCGAAACCAATTGCGATAATTATGTAACACGGCAAATATGAATATTTACGTGTCATGTGCATTTCATTGATTGTGCGTAATGTATGTGTAACGATGGTATTGTGCTAAGTTGTGCCTGTGTCGACTTTGTCAAGCGTCGGGAAGCATAAAATTTCTTAAGGCTAATAAATAAATAATAGTTGCTTTATTGCTATTTCGAATTACGATAAATTTGAAATATTTAACGTTATATGTCAACTGTATGAGAAATCAGTGTCACGCACAGAAATATCGCTAATGAATGCACATTTTACAATTACGCAATATTACATTGTACATTCGCTGCGATTGTTATTATAAATACTATAATACGCCGCAATGCGAATTAATATTTATATATTAATTTATATTATTTGTATATCTTCATTTTAATAAATATAAATGCAAATTTTTATTAATCATACAATAATACATTTTGTAACGTATAATATTATATTTTTGACCAATTACAATATTGCATTGTGAAATTTGAATAATTATAATTGCTCTGTTAAACATTATGTTATTAATCACATGATATGGTCAATAAATTAAAAATTATTAAGGTCGTGGAAACTTGCTGAACCTAAAAACGTATTAAAAATATGAAAAGCCATTTTATTATTTAGGCGCATATATTCAGGCATACACTTGTGTCTATGCGGTGCTTTATTTACCAATGCAGGTATTTTATACGGATATAATGACAAATAATTTTTATGTTACTTTTAGAATAGCTTTAATTGAAAAGTCGAGGTAATTCTAGCATTTAATCATTGATAATTTTACTTACAAAAGAAATTTGCGACTTTAAGTCTAATGTAAATTACGCAGGTGACAATGAATACTGAATCTTCAAAAGCATTCAATTTATATTGAACAAAAAAAAAAAAAAAAAAAAAAAAAACCAAGCAAGAAAAGAATACAGAGGAATTTATGCTTATAAGCCGCCATAGGAAGAGTCCAATTATAATGGGATTTGTTAAATAGGAATAAGAATGATTAAAATTGCAAATCAAAGATAATGAATTAGCGTCACTAAATTTGCATTCGCGACTGTTGCTTTGGATTTCCCATTAAACTCGTAATACTGTAATGGAGAAGCCAATATTCATTTCGATTTATTAACAATATTAATAACATTATTGCGAATGTAACGATAGTGTAAAATGAGCTAGTCTAGTGAAGCTAAACATCGATAAATTGGACATTTACTTATTTTCTAAATATATTTCACTTTAAATTTACATTCTGTTTTCTCTAGATTATTGACTAGTAGTGCACGATATTATTAATCATCCTGATCAAATACCTTTTAATGACTACAGGTTTGTCGACAAAATTTCAATATTTTCGAATGGATTTCAATTCAATTTTCAATTCGAATGTAATTCTGACAATGTAGCTATTATTTCGTCTTTTGATGTTAATCTTAATTCTTGGATAAAACTAATACAATGCAATGAATTAAAATTATCCAGAACACTTTTTTACAGCGTTCGATTAAAAAATCGATAATTAATTTGAAGTGCAGTGTCAAATTTATTATCTTTCGCAATGATGTTATATCGGTCAATTTTCTAATGCTTTTAAGTATCGAGTGTGCGTTTCGTCTACTTAATGTACATTATTAATTTTAGTAAATTTTAATGCAAAGCTCTTAGCAGCTTTTTAATTTGACTAATAAAATCGATGAAAACTAATCCTCACAATACCGTATGGCTGTATTAATATTATAAGACGATAGTTACGAAGTGTAATTTATTATAAATGCAATTATTTAAAATTACAAATTTACGATCGTAGTACGGATAGTACTTTCTAATTGAATTCTACGTGGGGTACTTAGCACATTGTGGCAATTTCCTATCCACATCTTTTCAAAATCTCTTGAAACGAATACTAAATAGCAGATAATTCTTACATTAAATATCATCGACACCTATTATCCTAACCTACCTCCATTCCCATGACAATAATTGCAAATTAGACATTATTAAGATTGCCTCTATTTCCAATGTTACGATATTTGAGAACCGGCAATTTAAAGGTTTATTATGTTTATAAAAAAAAAAAAAAAAATAGCGACCATCATTTTTATTCAGAGAGATTTATCAGCATCGCCTAACATAATCCCATCTTACCTTCTCTTTTAAATCCTATTTTCATAGTTTACGGATAATAGGGTAAAGTCCAATTTCATTGCTCGACAGACAATCATCGACGGAGAGGGAATAAAATAATATCCAGGTCACTGCATCGGTTGTACACTAAACTACGATTCAAGTGTCGAAGCGCTGGTGTTTGCAATGCTAAAAAAAAAAAAAAACCATGCAATGCCAATGTCTCGTTGTCGAGCGAGTGGAAGAAAGAGAAAAAAAAACTCGTCGTAATTTGCGCTCCGTGCTTTTTTGACTTTCAGATCTGGTTTACCGGCCCGAGATATCCGATTCACCCTCTACCCGGTGGGCTTCATCATAAGCGCCATCTTCCTGGCAGCGACCCTCGCCGCCGGTTGGCTACTACCGGCCTCTCATCACGTCCTTCACTGGCGCTGTCAGACGCACCACGTCGCCTGCCTCATGCTTGGCGACATCTCCATGGCCGTCATACAATTGGCCGGGAATTCGTTGCAGGGCGAGTTCTGCCGTGCATTAGGTGAGTACGTCCATCTTCGTTGCTCGCACTAGTGACAGACGCACGAGATACGGACACGTGACCGTCGAGCTCGCGCCACGATAACGTGCAAACGCTGCTACGTTGTAGCGTCCTTCCTCGACTGGATCCAAAAATCGTTCCGTATATAACAAGCTCGTGCCGCCGTCGTGCGTAATTAAGTTCCCTCGGATTGGTCGGTGACGATCATTGAGATTATCCCAGCGATTGATAACCCCGGTGCTGACCTCCCAAGAAGAAGCTCATCAAGGGCCGTATCGTACTTTCGATACTTCATTACATGGGGAGTTGTAAGCGATGACCAATCGAGGCATTGGGAAAAGTTTTCTCGCAGACTCGGGCAAAATCATAAAAACGACGGCCGCACACAGCAGTGAGAATATGCTGCTCCTGGCGAGCATCTCCGCCCGTACGTGTAGTTACGCGCGCACGAGGCCCGAAGAGGGAAAAGCATGTGAAGTGAGGCGGCCCCTTTGACTTTCTGCCAAGTCCATTACCAACTGCGCGTTTATTGCATTTTTTCCTCATGGCTCGCGCGCGGGCGCGCGTGTGCGTGCGCGCACCGTCTATAGAATACAGCCCTGTCTAACATGTACGGCTCGTTAAATCAAGTTTGGATTGTTTATGACGGCTAGCATAAGCCAATAGGGATACATTTCATCTCGATTATAAGCCTGTTCACCTCGTGCGCGGCTTTCCACGTCGTGCACTTCACAATCGCAAATGGAGATTATTATTAATAATGTAATAGGCTCTTTTTGTCTACTGGAACGAATTCATAAGATTTCAGGACATTTTCGGTGATTCTTAAGCAACAAAGAAAACCGCAAAATTATCTCAAAGGAATGCGTAGTAAATCAACCATCGATCAATAATTTATGGGTAATCTTATGATCATAATCAAAGAATTATAGCGACGACGACGACGGCATCAACAACAGCAACAACAACAACAATGACAACAACAACAACAACAACAACTACTACTACTACTACTACAGCAACAGTAGCAAGAACGTGAACAACGGTGACGACGATAGTCGTCGTTAATGATAATAATGATGTTGAGGAATAAGTGGAATAAGAAAATGATAGCCATACCGAGGTCTTTGGCATTTAAATTTTAAACTTGCACGTAATTTTATTGTGTATTCGCTCTTATCCGAGTACAAAGAATAATTTCAATATGGCTCGACTAGTTACTATTGTTTATGTCACATCTTTTCCAAACAATCATCAGAATTAAGGGGCTTTAAAAAAAATTTCAAACAGAAGAAACTTTTAAATTAAAACTGTGATAAGTAATAATAAAGAATTAGGTCTTCTCCACCATCCTTAACATCCCTAACTCCATTCCCCCCGGCAAATCCCTGATTTTTCATTGATCTCGGAGTCAGCGAGCGGCGAGACAGAAGCACTCGGCGAGCGAAAAAGCTAGCGCATTAATAATCGGAGCTTACAAAGGCAAGAAGTAAGTGATAGATAGATAGAAGCTCAACGGACTAAGTAAAGTACGGGAGAGGGAGTAGAAGAAGCTTCGGAGAAAAAAAAAAGTTGCGCCTGAATGATAAAGGATGGTTGAGCAGGCTGGCAAAGTGAGGGAGGGGGATGGGGGATTGGGGGGATCGAGCATGCGAGAAAGATGGTGAAACAATCGAGCGACTGGCCACGGGAGGAGAGGAAGAAACGGTTACAAACTAAAAGAAGAGGACGCGGATCCATAACAAAATACGAAAGCAATAAATCACCCGATTGCCGAGCCGCGCACAACTGCGCGAAAGTAACGAGTGAGAGGCCGTCGCGCGCCTTTCGAGTCTTGGCAAAACGAGCTTGAAGAGGCTTCATAAATCTTCCGAGATTGTTTCTTTTCACCTACCCCTTCCACAATTCCTCCTCCTCCTCCTCCTCCTCCTCCTCTTCCCGCCCCCTCCATTCTCCTCATCATCGCCGATGAGTCGCCGTCACCCTTGCCGTCACCGGTCTCCCATCTCGGGCTTTTGTATCAAATTTAGACCGAAGGATCGACCCACCCCCATCAGTTTCACGTAATTAGTTTGCTTAACAATTTGTGATCGATGGAAATTTAAGCTTTACGAGCCGCGGCTATACTCGTCCGCCTGCTGCTCCTGCTGCTGCTGCTGCTGCTGCTGCTGCTGCTGTGCCCTTGGGTGGACACTTAATCCTGGACTAAGAACTTTTCGCAGCAAGGAGATAAACTCGCGCCGACGAAACGCGCGACGTCAAAATGGACGAGCCATTGATGAACTATCGCCGCGCGCTTTTCCCATCCACCGTCCTGATTATATAGTGCGACGTCTATTGCCACTTGACGCACTCGCTCTGTCACTCTTTTTACAATGGTCCATCGAGTTATTGCTCCGGCAATGTTTCTCCATTATTTTTCTACGAGCCGAGGCTACATTTCAAAAATTACGAGGCCAGATAAAGAAAAGCGTCGATTTGTCTGTCCTCCTCCCATACATGTTGTCGCCCGAAAACCCGTATGCTACGGCCGTATACGTCGTCATTAATCAATGTAGGCAATTATCTTAATTTAATGCGAGGAATTTTTATACCGCGATCAAGCTATTCTTATACCAAAAAAAAAAAAAAATCATTATTATTCAAACAACCAAGCACACCTTCACAAACAATACGAATTCGACATCGTTGTTCTATGTGTTCGGATCTCATTGTGGAATCCATTATCGAAGCGATTTAAGAAAATTTGTAATATTATAATGTCATAAAAATGGCAAGACTTCGTTAATGATTTTTATTTCTATATATCAAATAGCATGATAATTTGATGAATACATTATGTTTATCATTAGGCGTGAAAGGGGCAAGTTTTTTTTTTAGGCTGAGTTTAAGCTAATTCCATCGATGATTAAGGTGAAAGATAACAAAAATTTCCAGGTATAATTTGAAAATGAGCAATGATTGATGGTTCATTAGGCGACGCTCTCTCGCGAATTCGTAGTCGAATTATCTTTTCGAGTCGTTGAACGATTTGCACAAGCAGCGACCATTTTAATATGCAATTCGAAGACAGGGATCCGATATCATCACCGTCCAATATCAAGATCAGTCAATATTTAATAACTCTTCCCCACAACTTTTTAATATCCGCCGATAACCCTTCAATTGTACAAATATAATAGTCTGGATTGACGCAATTTCAGAGATCGAAGATTCGATAAGCCAAGACATTTTTTGCTATTTGCTATTGTCGTCCCGTGAATATTCGCTATCCTTTAACCTGTGTCGAACGATCGACGAGAAATCATTTGACTCAATGATCGCTAGAATTGTACCAAGTATTCAACTAATTACCAATTAACTACCAATAAAATACGAGAATGCAATATAAGCTTTAGTAAAAATACATTTGTCATTACTTGGTAATGACTTTATAGTAATTGTCAGTAATCTCAAAACAAGCACGGTCAAAATAACAATCATTGACTTTTATGTTTTTCGCTGATGAATTAACAACAATTAGGGATGATAAATTTTCTTTCATGAAAGCCAAGTTGGAAATTACAATTTTTTATCTGATTTGTGTCCTCGATAGTCGTTTGAGTGTAACAACTGTGCGTTCGACTCGAAAATTCTTGATCGGATCCTGACGATCTTGACGATAATCAAACACATTTGCAGCCCAACAACCTGAATATTCGTCAATTTTCGACAGGTGAGCTGACATGGTCGTGGCATCGTCTCGTGTCAGGGTCGACCAGAACGTGGCATCGAAACGATAATCGAAATGCTCCTCGAAACGGAGTGGCGTGCGCCGAGTAACCGGACGTCGAGAACGCGACGAGCACGCGCCCGATTTTCCGACCGAAGCGATCGCTTCCCTATTCATCGGATTCCACTCTCGGGGCTAATTATTCGGATAATCGGGTGGGTAATCCGCTCTCTCTCTCTCTCTCTCTCTCTCTCTCTCTCTCTCTCTCTCTCCCTCTCTCCCTTCCTCTCTCATCGGTAGATCGACGGGCGCGCAATGAGGGGCACGAAAACACGAGCCCTCGGTGCGCGGAATTCAATTAGCCGCGGCGATTAAGCGTCGCAACGCGCTCGGTCCACTACGGGATTTCCCGAATTCTCCGACGGTCTCTTGAAGCTGCCCATCCGGGCGCCGCCGACCCATCCACTAAGAACGTCCGAGGAGGGGAACTCTGGTGTGTTAGGCACCCATGCTGGAGCCGCTCTCTCATGTTTTTATCGTGGCTGATTCATCGCTTCGGATGGACGAGAGAGCGCATTTGCCGAGGGTGCCGAGGCCATTTGGAGTTACGGATGGATGGACCAATGGAGCTTCCGCTGCGAGAGTTGCAAAAGGCACGTCCGTTGTATTTTATAAATTTAAGAGGGCCGCCGTGGTTTCTTAATAATGCTGCTTGACGCCCGACGTTCATATTCAGCCGAAGACTTTCCCCCGATGAATATCGAATATTTATAATCGAGGAATTCAACAGCGTTGGCACACAATTATTAATGCACGCCAATTGTCAACTTTGGCATTGCTTTTTCTCAAAAATTCTCCCATCCCCCTCTATAACCAAACTCCGTCGGTCAATTACCAACTGGCACTAAAAAGCAAAGGTATTGCTTCTTATGGGCGATTTTCTGTGTCTGTTTGTGCGTGTGAGCGCGCGTATGTTGTGTAAAAGCACGTTAACAAGGTAATTTCCATTTCAAATTGAAGAAATTAATGTCTGCTCGAGACTTTCAAACCGACTCGCTGGTTTATACAACATCCTGCTTTTTAAAAGCGACGCCGGGGTCTCGTTGCACTCCGTCACTCCTGTGGCACACGAGCGCATCGTTACCGCTTACTCACCGAATCAAACTTCACTCCATATTGCCAATGCTCGATTGATATTCGCAAAGAACAACGCCCCGTTGGCTTCATCGAAATCCCGACTCGTCATTGACTCCTTCGCCAAGACTACTCGTAACTCGTAATAATTGAT